TTCCAAAAGCCACTGTGAAAGGACGTATTATCAGTCCCGATGAAAAAAAGGTTTCTTCTGTTCGCAAAATACCACAATTTTACTGAAGTTGAAGTGACTTTGTCACTTTATGAAAATTGTCTTCTGTCCCAAGAACATACCTAATGCTGATTGAAGGACTTTGGAAGTCTGACATTGGTTGATTTCAAAGAGTTGTGTTAAGTGTGAGTTATTAATTACCATTAAAGGTACAAATTCTATTTTCAAATCAATTGGAGTTAAACTTGTGAGCCAAGGAGAATTCCAAACTGAAGAAATTAGTTGGTCAGAATTCTTGTTCTCAGATTTTGAATCAAACTACTGCTTTTGTACCAATAACGATGGAGACCTACAAAGAATTGTAGTAGTTTAATTTTGATGTAATAATCATGAAAGCCAGTTTCAAAATACACAGGGGGTTTTCAGAAGTATTTAATCCCCACAACACATCTGAAATTATTTCTTAAAGAATTATTTTAACCAAATTTACATATGTTTAGTAAAGAAAATCCAAACAAGCTTCCAAATTTTCTTGCAGATATCTACAACAGGTAACAAATATTCTCCAACCAAATTCAGTTGAGTTTTCCTACAATAAGGTTTTGTTGAAAGGTAGTATACAAAGTCCGATTCTTTCTCTGACAGCTTTAACTCTTCCAAATTTCAGCATTTGCCAGAAAGTTCTGGAATTAACATTTTGAAAAAAAAAAAGGCAAAACTGTTAATTATTCTCATAGCAGTGAAAGTGCCAGCAAAAGCAGAACTGAACTTTTACTGAACTGAAAAACATCTCTTATACTGTACCAAGTAATAAAAGACCATGGCAAACCAAAATGTTGTAGCAAAGCAATGTTGGTGGTAAAAGCACTGTTTTGGAATGCAAATAGTTTATCGAGGTGAATAGTGGTGTTGACCTGGAATTAATTATGAATGAAGCTAAGTGCTTAGCTAAAGTGTACAATGACAAGAAGGATTTAAATATGAAACGGCACCACTGATAGGATCCATGTCACATACCTCAGCCATATGAAAATAAGGTGTCAAGTCCATGCTAATTTTTCAAGCTTCCTTTCCTTCCCAGTCAATGAAAAGGGAGGGGCATCTTTGGAAATTAATTCATATAACCCTAAAAAAGATGTCAGGAGAAGGCGAGACTTGCCTTCTGAAAGTCACAGTTATGTCTTTCTGCTTTTGAGAGAGTCTAGAAACCACCAGGGATTCAACACCTGGCTTTCAGGTACATTTGGCTAGGTAGGATAATCTGAATTTAAGCTGTGATTAAATGAAATTGCATACTGTCAACAAAAAGTCTTCAATATTAATTGCATGTTTTACCACTGAGCTTAACCTGCTGAGTAACCATTCGCTTCTTTTCCCCTCCTTCCTCCTTCCTCCTTCAGCAGACATTTAGTATTTTTCTACTACGTTATCTAAGAGGAACAGTTGGCTCAGTCCCTGTTTACAAGTTCAGCAAAAGGTAGAACTTCACAGCCTGTATCTATCTGAGAAATACTCTGTATTCGTAAAGGCTCTTTACAGTTTAAATTCAAGATCCTGCCCCTGCTACTCCCAGCACAATATATGATATATCATATATCATGTATCATATATTAATTATAATTTATAATTATAGGTTAGTTGCAATTTATATATTGCATACTATATAACATATGCTAGCAAGAGAAGCATATTGTGAGCTTAGTTTTAAAATAATTTTTGTTCTAAGGCCTGTCAAGAAATGAAAAGTCAGACAGAGGACAGCTAATCCAATCTGAATGTGTTGAATCCAAGACTATTCTAAAAAAATTCATCATACTGTACCCTTGCTGGACATCTTTAAATAAAAAAAAAAAAAATCTAAATGACATTAAAATATTAAGCTCAAACTTTGTTACGAAAATCTGCATTCTCTCAGCTTCACTCTTGAAGCAAGAGTATGCAAATCCTCTGGAAATGGTTATCTTTCTTTGCATGTGTGTGAGGCAAATGGCATCTTTCTCTCTATTTGTTATGCCTTGAATTGCTTTATTTCCTTTGTTT